CTCGTCCAATTAGCACATCGCGACCGTACATTTACTGCACCCAGTCATAAACCTCAGTTGTCGTACGGTCTGGAGGGTGGCCCGCTGGGTATGCCCCTCAGTGTGGGCCAGAAGCAGGTGGCTCGAATCAACCCCCTGGCCGGAGTGAGTGTGCGTGCGTGTGTGTATGTGCATATGTGCGTGTGTGTATTTAAAGTGGAGTTGGGTTGTGGGGGGAGGGTGGGGGGGATTGAACGGGGGTTCTGGGGGGTGGGAGGAGCTGGGGAAAGCAGTGTGGAGTCGGGTTTTTGGATTTAGGAAGTTCCGACAGCGTTCGGACACTTCGGAGCAAGCTCAGCAAGTACGACAGAGATCGTACGACCCATCCGCTGTGGCCTCGAATTCTCCCCCCATCGCGTGCGCAGATGTTCACGCAATTCGAGTACCTGCCATCCGAGTACGACAGAGTAAAGCTGACTGGAAAGTACGATCGTCTAAGGCACAAGCTGGCGCAGGTACGTGGGGGGCTCAACCTTACCCCCTTACCCCTCCCGCCGCCGGCCCCCCCCTCCCCACCTTCATTTCCGGCTCGTACACCCCAGTTTGTTGCCACGGGCGCTGGTGCGGTTCATCCGTTGATCCTTTGATCCATCGTCAGCATTACCATTATTCTCATATATGATGTATTATTTAACAACATGTGGTGTAGGTTATTTATTTATTATCATCAAATATGAAACATTATTATGTATCATCGAATGATTTCCCATCCCATCCGATCCCTTTCCCCTTCCCGTTCTCCCCATTCCTCTTTTCCCCCCCGGCCCCTTCCCCATGCAGACCGGCCCACAAGAGTTCGTGGTTCGTGCCCCCCCCTCCGCCGTACACGGCGCCCCCGCCTTCTCCGAGTTTTCGTACACCACCGACCCGGTGGATTCGTACTCGGCCTCCATGCACGCGGACACAGACCTGGCAAGGTCAAAGTGAGTGTACGACTGTGTCTGGCGAGGACGGGGAACTGGGGGGAAGATGGTGGGGAGGGAAGAAGAGGGGCAGGTCCGTGTTTACGACAGCAGGCCCCCCTTTTAACTGACTCTTTCCCCAGCGCGGACGCGGGAGGAGGTGGGGCCCGATCACCCTGTCCCGTAGTGCGGTATGGCGGTGGAGGAGCACTTTCTTTCACAATGTGGGCACACAGTCCTGGTGGAATTAGGCACATCACAGTGAGGGGTTTGGGGGGGGGTGTAAGTGACGGGGTGGGGAGGCGTCTTGGTGGGGAGCCCTCTTGGGAGCTGCGGGCCAACATGGGAACGGCGACGGGAATAAGCGTAGCTGCTGCTGCTGCTGCTGGTGTTTTGAGGGGAGGGGAGTGAAGTGGGTTCGGGACACGGGTTTTGCCGGCCCCGGCCTATGTGGGTAGGCGAGGGTGGCCGTCTTTTCGGTGCAGCAACCGGATAGCAGTGCGAGCTTGTTCGTTGGGGCAGCTGGGCAGCGTCGTAGGCCCGGCAAGATATGTAACACACACATTCTCACACACACACGCATACCCCCCTGCGCCTGCCAATTTATCTCCTCTTCCCGCCCTCCTTTCCGGTCCAGGCGTGTTGTTGCTGTTGCTACTGCTGCTGCTGACCTGCTACTGCTGCTTCCGGTCTATTGTTGCCATCGTGCGCACGGATGCAGGTGCAAGCAGCCCTCTTGCCGCCCATTATCTTCGTTCTTCCCCTCTCTCCCCTTTTCCATCCTCGCGCTCCCGTTGCTAAGAGTCCAGTCCGCGGTCTCACTCACCCCTCGGGCCCCCTGCCCGCCGTCCTGGTCCACTCCAGGGTGGTCGCCGGCCCCTTCTACCCCTCGGGCCGCGTACAAGCCGCCAAGGTGCTCAAGGGCCGACTGGACGAGTGCATGATGCGGCTGTGCAAGCAGCTCAGCGACGACTGGCCGAACAGCTTCATGCAGGTACGCGGTGTGTGTGTGTGTATATAGATGTAAAAAGGTGGGTGGGTCTGGAGCTGCGGGGACGTTGCGTTACGTACGTTGCGTTACGTACGTTGCGTTACGTGTGTGCGTTACACGAGGAATTTCAGGGTTTTAGGGTTTTGATGCGACAAGTGGGACCTTCCCCCGTGTGGTGGGGTACGGTGGGACGTGGAGTGCAGCCATTAACCCCCATATCCAGTCCACCCTTACCCCCCTTCATCTCCTCCATCCCCCTCGCCCTTCCCCTCGCCCTCACCCTCCCCTGGCCTCCCCCTCTTTTTCCCCCCCCCCCTCCACCCGCCGTTACCCCTCCCCAACCCCCCTCACTGCAACCCCCCCCGCGCGCGCAGGTATTCGAGGACCGCAACGGCAGTGTGGTGGCTTCCTTCCACCAGCCATCTGCCGTACAGGAGGGCGACCTGAGTGCCTACATGAACACGCTGGCCAAGAGGAACCACGTAATGTCCACCTTCCAGCTCACCAAGGACGCCACGCGGTGGGGGCTGGTGGACGAGGACAGCGGGGCGGTGTTCTACGTCTTGTGGCCGCCGTGGGTACGACACAGGTACGGGTCGTACTAGGATTTTTGTGTGCGCATGTGCATATGGGGAGTGTAATCGGCATTGGGGGATGGATGGGTAGTAGGCGGCAAATTTGCGGCTCAGCCATATCGCCATCGTTACCGTCAACTGCTTCAACTTACAACTGCTTCAACTTACGACTGCGTCAAGAAAATCTTTTGTACTTTTTGTTGGGGTGGGTGAGGGTGAGGGTGAGGGTGAGGGTGAGGGTGAGGGTGAGGGTGAGGGTGAGGGTGAGGGTGAGGGTGAGGGTGAAGAAGCTGAGCAGCGGAGCTCACCCTCACTCGCATTCACTGAGACGGCTGTCTGGCCCCTCATTCATTGATGTCTTCATCTCTTCGTGCTTCATGGTCGCCCACATCATTATCATCCTCATCACCTCCAGCGTCACGTCATGGTGGTGCTGCCAACTGCAGGTACTTGGGACCCCACACCGCGCCAACATCCACCCAGATGCCAAACGGCCGGCCTGGAACCCGGGGCAGCAGCAGCAGTGAGGACGAGGAGGAGGAAGACGCGGAGGGGGCGGACGGGGGGTTTGCGACAGCGGGGGCAGCGGGGGAGGATGCGGCCGCGGCTGCGGCGCTGGGGCTGGGGGCTGAGATAGGCGACGGAGGGCAAGGTGGCGCGATGATGTTGGGGTATGGCGGTCAACCGTACGGCAGTCAACCGCTTGATTCAATAGCGGCCTCCGGGTCGCAGCGCAGGGCGGGGGTTTATTAGGGAAGAGAGGGGGAGGGGCTGTGCTTTGGGCGGGAATTGCCCGGTGTGGGCTGGGTAGTGCAGCAGGAGGGTGGGGCGAGATGGAAGAAATGGGGGAGCGGATGAGCGAGACGGAATGAGAGGGGAGCGGGACTGACGAACTTAGGGTGGACTGGAGTGGGATAGCTGAGTAGGTTGAGAGCGAGCTGGCTGGTTGCGAAATGCAGTGAGGAAAGGAAAGGTTGACAGTTCAGGAGGCGCTGTGGTTGGCTTGTGATGTTTGGCTGAATTTTGGCGGGATGAATCGGCAGCTGTGAAAGTTGTGCTTGTGCGCGCGTGCCTAGACTTGTGGCAGCACTTCAAGTAGTCGTTTGTTCGTGCTTGTTATTCCAGAGCCAACTGCTTGCCGCTACCTCAACGCGACATGACCCCAGGCGGACATGCAGTTTAGGACATTACTTGTAGTATGGTTTGAAGGTGGGACATGAAGATAGCAACCCTCTCAAAAACAGTACGGCAAAAAATTGCGATGGCCGAGCAAAATCTCCGTCCTTCCTAAAGTGCTCCACGGGTATCGTCGAGTCGATTGACAAACCAAACGACTTAGTCCACACGGAGGCCTCTTTTTGTACAACTCGATCCGTTGTTTGGCCTTGAGCATAATGCTGCAACTTCAACCATACCGCTGCCTGGCGAGTAAGCATCGGAGAGCACCAAGGTCCGGAGGTAAAATGCGTGCAGCTGCAGTTGGTAAGTCTACTAGTTCTTTTGGGGCCGCGAGGTTCATTATCCACTTGAAACATTGGGCATCAGTTCTCTGGAAAGGAACTGCGTTACGATAACTGGCAAGCGAATACCCAGCATGCCTGCCATATGAAACCTCAAAAATTGACCGTCTCATGACAGGAGGACCTGTGGCAACTCGGCCTCTGCTCCTTCATGCTGGCGAGGCGACGATGTCGGTGCCGTTTACTGTAGAGCAGGCACAAGAGCTGCAGGCAAGTCGCATATTGATGTCCAACCTTCAAAAAATTTTGCCTATCGCATGGCGTCTGGGAAACATCGGCACCCACTTTCCGCGGGGCGGAACTTTACCGACGCGACTATGATGGTGCGCACAGCACTTTGGTCGATCTACAAGATGAGGCACAAATTTTTAATTTCATCGATTTCTGAGTACGTAAAAGGTTTCCGAATAAGGGTTCTGCGTTCGGGATCACGCGTCCGTACGACCACGGTCGTTTAGAGGACGCTGCGGTCGTACGGACAGGTGATCCGCAACGCAAAACCCCTTAGTACCTTCTCCCTTACCCAACCCGATTCAATCTGACCGCAAGCATTCCGCAAAAAATATATCCGGCCGCAAAACCGACAGGGGACCTTCCAAAAGCTTTTTCAGATTTTTGCCGAGAAGCAAAAGGCGCAGCGGCCCAAGCGCTGGGACATGATGGAGTGGCGCCATGCGGATCAAGAAGTGGGCATGGAGGTGCGAACTTGTGAGGATTTATGCTCTGGCGTGCGTGCGTTGTCCTCTTTCGTTTTTGACCGTACCACACCATGTGCGGAAGGTGAAGTAGTATCGTACTGCCGTAGTACCGTTGCCGTGCAGAATCCTAACGGCATCTAGTCTAACCCCTCCTGTTTTCTAACCACCGTATTCGGCCCCTCCTCCCACCTCTCAATTTCCACCACCACCCCCGTTGGCGCCACATGCCGCCCGCTACCACCACAACTCCCCACCGCCACCGCCACCAACACCAGGTGTTTTGCAACCCCAACGCGCACACCACCGCCTTTGACGCCAAGTTGCTCATCACGCTGTGGTCGAGCGGGGGCCTCAGAGTCACGACTGAAGCGCGTCTGAGCGCCATCACCAGCGACCTGGACAACTTCTTGCAGGGGTAGAAGAAACGGCGGTGGCAAGACTCCCAGGAAGAGCAGCGCATTTCAGGTTTCTTCTTTCCTATTCTCTTTCTTCTTTCCCCTCCTTGTTATCTTTTTTCCCCTCAAATGTGTCGAATGAATACCCCGACGTGGACCTCCTGATTACGAATAGATTAATTTTAAACCTGACTCGGCAGGGCGCATGTCGGACTTCGGGCTTAGCGATGCAAGGGTGGCAGGCTGGCGGGAGGTTGGGCGAGTGGATAGCTTGAGAGCTGCGAAGAGTACATTTCGCTCTACGTCCGTGCATCCTGTGCTGCACGGAGTGTGCTGTTCCGTCATATCATATTCTTCGTGTGGCGACTGTGGTGCTTGTGTGCCTGGCACTGTCCACAAAATGATTCTCTGAAAGGGTCGAAGCGGTGCGCAGGTCGCACCAGACAAGGTGCTTGCTATTTCTTTCCTCAAACTGCATGTCGGTTGGGACAGTGGGACCTAACTCCTTAACTTAACCGTAGGGGATCCTGTCTCTCCCTCCGGATTTTTTTGTGAGGCCTAGACACAGCCTGGATTTTATAGGCGCTTGAGCATTCCTAGTCAGTGCTGTAGTCCAGTGCGGTAGTCGGGGCGGGTTGTCCGCGCTTCAAACGAAATCCTTTGTTCGCTGCATAACTTGGGCGTCGCTGGATCGCAGGCCTGGATTATGTAGCAGAGACTCTATTTTGAACATATACCTGTACGGGCTTTCTGTTGATACCGCCGCAGTAGGAGCTGTTCCTCAGACTCGCTGGCACTCCCGCACCACGCATTTGACCAAACGATGCGCTGCCAGACGGAAAGAACCCCGCGTGACAGTCGGCTGAGGGAGTGTGTAGGGACGTGGAAAATTTTGCAGCAAAGCGCTGTGCCTAGAGGAAGTGCCCGTCCTGACGCAACCCACGGGAAGCGGAGGATTCCCTTCGCTGAGACTGTGGACGCGGAAACATGTAATCCCACGAAAACGGATTATGCTAACGCGCATAGCGGCAACAGGCAGGCGGTTACAAGAATATAAACATGGACCCTGACGCGCAAAACACCAAAGCCACGACTCCATTCAAGCACTCGCGAAAGTCACCCGCGAAAAATATACCGACGCGCACATGGAAGGGAAGTCCAAAATCATGCGTCGCCAGAGGCAGCGGCAAACGCGAGCCTTGCTTTGTGGCCTCACCAAACAAAGAAATCCCTGCACCGCTAGTAACAGGAATCTTCCATAACCACCACAAGTGCACACACACCCCGACTTGCTTTCAAAAACATGACCTTGCATCCAGGTCGATAGCACATCCGTCCCGTACGTGGCGACGTCCACTGTCACTGCTAGCTTCACGACGTTCTTTCGATACAAAGTACGACCGCGCTATCATCTGCCTTTCAGCACTAGTCTGCACCACATACCTAACCCAGGTTGCTTGCTGCTTTGAACGCCGTAGCGGGCAGGGGCGAAATCCACGCTGTGTCCACATGTGCACTGCTTGCCATGTCCAGGTGCGGCAGAAACCAACACTACACAGCCGAAGTGCGTACAACCGCAAACCGAAACCTAGCCCAGATGCTGTATAGTCCTGCGCTGCATTCGTGACATGCTGGCCAGAGCAACGTGTCGTATCGCTAAGCCTCGCGGCAGATGGGAACAGAGACGGGCACTCGTCCGTAGCAGCCGCCAGGGAAAAAGGCCGACATGGGGCTTGGTTTATGCCGTGCGGGAATGCGTCCTAGCCGCTTTGGTCTGCACCGCCAGCTGCGGCCCTCCCGTACACGTGCCTTCATCCACAACGAACAATGTTTTAAACGCGCTGTCAGAAGGTAACCACGGCTTCACCACCCTTGAGCTGTCTGGGAACAAAAAAGAGCCTGCGAGGGTGCACGCCACCACATCACACAACACGCGGGTGCACATGGAGACCGTCAGGACACAGGGGAGGATCTGTAACCGATATCCAATTACTCATCCTGTGCTCATCCACCATCCAGCGCGGCGCGGGTCCCTGCGTATACCGGAATGGCTGCTGCAAGCGAAGGGCTTCATCGGGGAACAATGCGACGCAGGTTCGCAGGGGAATGGCACCTTCGTAGCCCTTTGAGCAAACGTATGATAAGCAGCCGCAACGTAACCTCTGAAACTCAACCCAGCTACCGCCCCGCCACCAACAGATGTTTTACCACCTTGTGCGCGCAACCTGACCACTCCCTCCGTCAGGCTCAATAGCCAAACCAGCAAATGCTATCGCACAGCAACCGCTGCAGCATAGACACTCATGTCACGACATCGAAGCGAACGTAGCATGCGGTATATGACGCCCAGAGCCCTCACCAGCCAACCAGCCAGAGAACTCAACCAGAACAACCCCCAGCGGTTGGACACCCAAGCCATAATCACCTGCATGCCTACTGGCTCTTGGCCTCGCCCTTGCTGACCACCGTGAACTGAGGGGGCGGCGAGGGCAGCGGCTCATATGTGGCTGGCCCGTGCCGCTTGTCCGCAGGCGTGTACTGCGAGAAAATTCCAGAGAAAAAGTGTGCACATAGGGCACGAACGATTAGCTGATGACGCAGTTGACGGGAACATATGCCCAAGAGATTGTAGCGATGCCTCCACCAAGCCACTATATGTGCCATAAAGGAAATGCTCCGCTAAAGTCAGTAGGAAAATGTTACATCGTGAAGCTGGCTGTAAGCTTTGAAGCTTTGAAGCTTGAAAATTGCTAACCACTAAAAGGAGTGGAAATCACCGCAAACTGTCAAGAACCACAGGGCCATCTGCAAATACCTTGATCGGCCGTGAGCGTGCATGATGCTTAGCGCCCTTGTGCCGTGGCTGCGTGGCGTTGCAAGCGACGTTGCGAGTGGCGGCCTGGATAGCGAACATTCTGTGTTCGGCAAATTCAAGTTGCACGTAAAAAATGGACAGTGCTCGTGTACCGGCTGCTTTAGTCACTACAAGCGAGGAAGATTAACGGTGTGTTTGGATGGTTAATAGCCTTCACCGCACGCCACGTGGGCCCTATCAGCACAGTTGAAAAATTTTCACGACTTTACCAGGGAGGCTTTCGTTGGTACAGGAGTAACTTTCTCCTCTTCTCTCATTACATATTGACTTGCGGCGTATGCCGGCTTCTTTATCGAGGGAAACTGAGTCGCGCATGCCAAGTCATCGTCTCGACTCTGCTCCTCTACCGCTTCTACACGTAAAAACATGTTAATATACAATACTTCGAGGTTCCACCCGTTGAAACCGCAAGATGAAGCAATTGCTTCAACATTTAACCGCACGCTAAGAGGAGCAACTTGCCTCGTCCCAGCCGATGCTATTACATACACCTTTCTCGAGTCACTAGCAGCACAGAGGCAAGGCTTTGCATGCACTCTGTTATATCATTTCCTCAGCTTGAGCACCAGCAAAACATTTACCAAGTCAGGCACGCACGTTGCACAGCCACAAAAACCATAAGACCTCCATAACACCTCCTCCTCCCGTTCCCAAGTCAATCCCGTCAGAAAAGCATCACCCCCAAACAACACTAGGTCGCAAGAACCCTGATGGCGGGATAGCAGTAGCCATTACGCACGTTCATCACCGATTCATCACCGATTCAGCGCCATTCCATCCATTGCGGAACAACACCCTAACTAATGCCAGGAAAGCCCACAAACGTTCCAGAAACGTCCATCCATGCCCCCTTAGGCGCCCGTTCATGGCCATGCAGTCAGCACATTTACACCCGCTCAGCCCGCATCATCTCAACGAACTGCTCGAAGCAAATGTCGGCGTCGTGCGGCCCGGGGGAAGCCTCCGGGTGGTACTGGATGGTCATGGCCTTCTTCTCCTTGTACACCATACCTGCAAAAGCACAGTACGTCCACCAGCAGCACCAAGGAACACTCAGCCCAGTTGTGCAAAAGAACAACTGGATAGAAAACGAAAGAGCGCTCAAAAACACAGTTGAAAGGGGAAACTCAGGCAGACAGACAGACAAGTCCTCCAGCATTGCAGCATCCCGGCACGAGATAATATAAAGGAAAGGGAGGGAAAAGGGACCACCACCTTCCCCGCTACCACTCCCTAGCTCACCTGCGCATGTCCCGTCGTTCAAGTTGACGTGGGTCACCTCCACACCCGCGGGCAACGTAGCCGGGTCAACAGCGAAGTTGTGGTTCTGGGCCGAGATTTCAACACGGCCTGTACGGCGCACGCGCACGGCATACACATCGTGGTGAGCATAGCCCCAGATCACGGCAACGGCGCGTCAGAGAGAGCCCGCCACGCCGTAATTAGGGGCGGGAAGCGCTTACGCCAAAACGTATCCTGGATGGTAATGGCTTGTGATCACAGATGCGGAAACAGACACAGGCACACGGCCTTCGTCGCCAGTTCCTACAGTCCACATTTCCCCCACCTGTGGGCATGTAGCGGATGGGGTGGTTGCCTCCGTGGTGTCCGAACTTGAGCTTGAACGTCTTGCCACCGAACGCCTGACCAAGAACCTGGGGACGGTACAGAACACAGCAGCGACAGCAACAACATCACGGGGCACAGTCGCTGCAGGGTGGGGAGATGGGCACGGAAGTCTCGCACAAAAGCAAGGTGTGTAGAGGTCACCGGGGGTAACGGGCGACAGATTTTGAAACCGATACACCTGGCGGCCGACTGAATCGAGCGAACCCTAAGTCATAAAATGATGTGATGATGACGACGACGACGACGATGCAAGCAGCAAAGGATCACAACTCCGCCGACACTGTTGGAAGTGACAGACACTCATATACAATGAATGTGACAGCAGTAATAGAACCCGGGGGGTCCGTGGCGTTCTGCTTAGTCCAACAGACAAGTCAACTACCGGAACCATTAAAAGCCATGATGCAACTGTATGAAATAAATCTAAAAGCATCTTGGGGACAAAAAAAGGAGGGCGGCGGCGACGCTAAGAGACATACGCACACCACACGAATCGGGGTCGCGGGAGTACTGCTACCCTTACAGTCTCAAAAGTAATCATTCCTCCAGGCAACCGGCGCCTTCAGGCGTGCTTGGAACAGCGGGAGCTCGACTCACCTGGTGGCCCATGCAGATACCGAACACGGGTTTCTTGCCCAGGATGGCCTTGGCGTTGTCCACGGCGTAGGGGGCAGCCGACGGATCACCCTGAACACATCCGAGGCGGGGCAGCAGGATATGGGGGAGTGAGAGATGCAAGACGATTATGACGATGAGCTAGTTGTATGAAGTTACCATGTACTTAAAAATCTTGTATATGACGCACGGCTGCAAGCTGCGTCCGGCAAAAGCAGCGTCGAGTTGAGAAGAAGAAAGACAAAAGCAGAGCTTTCAGTAGCAAGGGAGGACTTCACACAGGTGGTTGACGGCTATTAAGAGCGAGATCCGTGATATCCCATGACTGGCTGGCCTACGTATCGTACCGACCTCCGCGCGAAAAATATCCGCAAATACATCCCCGCAGATCTTCCCACCTGATTAGTAGGACATACATACCGGGTACTACCCCGTTCACCCCAAAATCCCCAACCTTCACCAACCGGCCTGCCCACGACGCCCAAACCAACATCGTTTTTCCCTCAATAACACATAGGGCCCCGCCCCAAGTAGACCCAGCCAAACCAAACCGGGGCTGCTCACCGGGCCGTTGCTGAAGAAGACGCCGTCCGGGTTCATCTTGAGCACCTCCGAGGCCGGGTAGGTGGCGGGCACCACCGTGATGCGGCAACCGAAGGAAGCCAGGCGGCGGAGAATGTTGGTCTTGATGCCGAAGTCGTAGGCAACCACCTGTTGAGGTAACAAGTTGGTGAGGGGCAGGCCAGCGCGGCGCGGAGTTGAGGGTCGAGGGTATCCGCACCAAGCGCGGGTCGGCGGGTAATGAGCGAGGCGGGGGGAGTAATTGCCGATGCAGCCGGGGTGGGGGGAAGAGTGTTGGACGTCGAGTGCGCGAGAAAGCGCACGCAGACACTCAGAAACCCCTCGTTTTGTGATATAATTGGAGAATAGGATGGGGAAGGTACGAGGAAGGGGGGAAATGTGTACAAAAGGATCAACCGCCGACGTCCAAAACAACGAAGGGGAGGGGGGAAGAGGTAGACAACGGGGACAATAAGCCATCGGTTCGCTCTCGAAGCGGTGCACCATCACTGTTAGAAATATCAGCAGCAGCAGTAGCAGTAGCGGTCCGATCATCGCCGCCGCCGCCGCCGCTGCAGCAGCAATAGCCGGAACTAACGGGGCACCCCCTTGGAGCTCCTCATCATCATCATCCCCACATACCCGTACCCCAAACCCTGCCGTGCCATGCCGCGGCCGTGTCGTGCTGAATTATCAAGGCCCACACTACACCGCACACCGAGGCAGAACTCCTATCCCGCGACAGCTCAAAGCCTTCACAACCTTGAGACCTCCCAAGGCACCACCCGGTCTGGGGCCCCAGGCACAGATCTTCCGAATGAAAGGTCTTAAGCCGTCTCTCCTCCGTCAACACCACAACCCCATGCACCAATCAGCTCTTCATGCAGTACATTGCCATCCCGGGCGGGTCCTAAAACACCCTAAGCTACCCCTAAGCTACTCTCTCCATGTGCCGCACTACCCAACGCGACCAAGTCCACCACACTAGACTGGAGTCACTGTTCGTTCCCTCAACAGCCCTTAGCAGTAAGACGACGACAGCAACGGCCACCAACACCACCACACGGCCCACACTCTTATCAGACCCGGGAGAGGAGCAGCGGCAGCGAACCAGTGGAGCGCTCAAGGGCAATGAAGGCGGGTATGAAAACAGGTGGAAACGGCCCCTTGTATTTCTTCGTCTCATAAGGAGAGGAAAAGAGCCGGAGCCAAGGCAGGGGTAAGATGGAAGATAATAAGCAGTGGACCCCAGGGCTGCAACAGCAGCCCCGACAAGAAAGTAAGAAACACTACTGCGTCCGCCCTCTTGCCCCAGCCAAACCAACCGTCAACCTAACAAGGGCCAAAACCCAGGACCACACACTCGTGGTGCTCAAAACCGAATGGAAGCCCTCCCAAACCCGACAGCCTGCCCCCCCCCGGCCCACACCCGATGCGTTGACCCTCAACGCGCAACCTCCTGACTCCTTCATTTACTCACCCAGCCCCTCCTGCCTGGCCTATCCCGCCATTCCCTGTCACCACTATGTCACTGGTTCCCAGTCTTGGGCCAACCCAAACCAAACGCCATTTTCCAACACCCTGCCCACCGGATTGGCCCCACCCGCTCCCATCCTAGCCACGATCCATACTGACCTAGTCCGCCGACACTGCATCCCCTCCCACCTCGGCAGTATCGCGACGTCGGCAGTATCTTTATCGGTGTTACATATAACACCCCCCCGCTTTCCTTCAGCTTGCACTACTGTTGCTGCTGCTGCTGCTGGCGGCACTGCTGATGGTCTGCTGAACATGGAGACATCAGGGATGCGTGGATGAAGGCAATCGGAAACGGCCTCCAAAGGAGGCGCCCCATCAGATGCAGAAAAAAGTGCCCCACACATCTCAATGCCCCAAATGCAAGGACTTCATCATCCCGGGGTCATGCCGAGCCCTAAGAACGCCGTAAGGGTCGGCATGACCCCGGCATGATGACCGTAGTACCCGGCATGACGTCACCGTCACATGAACCTGGGCATTTGGGTCACGTGATGTTGCAGTCCGGTGCTTCTTTTCAACCCAGACTCTCTTGCCCTCCTCGCTGCCTCAATGGCGGCGCAGGACGCGACACATACCTATCCGAGTAGCTGCTTCCCTCAAAAAGTCCCTCCCTCCTGCCATGATCGGGCCCCCTCCCCGTAAACGCCTCTTTGCGAATGGTTATCGTTTTTATTAACTACAGCATCCCTAAAAATAATTCCAGGCAATCGCATCTAATTGTGAGATGCGGTAAGTGGTTGTATTTTAAATTGGGTGACTTACGTGATATGGTCCGTGCTGCTTCGAGAGCTTCGTGCGGCCGTTGAACTCCCACTCCTCCGTCGTGCCCTTGCCCCACTCGTACGGCTCTGTACACGACACAACTGACAACAGGTCCTTTCCAACGATCGTCCACGACTTAGCCATGTTGACCAGTTCCTCGTCTGACTTGGAGGCATCCGTGGTAACGACGCCGACCAGGCATCCAGTCTCGCGCAGCACCTTGGTGAGCGCGCGGGTGTCAAGGTTCGCAAGCCCAATCACATTTTCCTTTTTGCAGTATGCGTCAAGGCTCATCTTGGAGCGATAGTTCGATACCACGCACGAGAGGTCGCGGACGATGATCGCCCCCAGATGACACTTGCTAGATTCCACGTCCTCTGCGAGATGTACGAGACATAATTCTTATCGTCAATATCAGCAATTAAGACACATGAGAAGGTGAGGCGATGAGCTGCGCCGCACTTGGCACGGCTTACCATAGTTGATCCCGACGTTGCCGATGTGAGGACACGTGAAAGCGACAAACTGGCCTTTGTAGGACGGGTCCGTCATAATCTCCTGGTATCCCGTCAAGGATGTGTTGAACACGACCTGCGAATCCAACGTGACACAGCTTGTGACCTATACCGACTAGGGCATGTCGGGACCCACGTTGTAGGCTCATCGGCGGCCCCTAACCGCTGCAACTAAGCTACGTCACGCGCTAACCTCCGAATTATATCTTATCATCTTGTTTTACGTATTAGAACCTCGCAATCGGGCTCCGCTTGCCGTCGGCACACCAACCCTAGTTGTAGGTGATTGACGCCCTCACCTCGCCTATCTCCGTGCCGCTCGCACCAAACGCCGTCGCGTGCCATACTGAGCCGTCTTCCAGTACCAGACGTGCATTCTTCTTTGGGAATGGTGAAGTAGCGGCTTCTGCGCGCACGACGACGGTGCGCACCCTGCCGCCGCTTAGGGCTGCGGCTCTGCGGAAGCCATGGCACGTCCTCCGACCAGCAGAACGCCCAGTTACTGGCGTCGAGACTACTTGACGGCTGCAGGGAGCATGCAAGTCCGCAACACCGTAGGCGGCGCTGCGACCTTGCAGTTTTGTTTGCAAGCTTTGCATTCTTCACGTCTAATTACGTCTGTGTCCCTATTTGAATCGTATCACATCACCTTGCGTTCCAAAACACTTTATAAGGCACATGGCACTCAAACGAATTTCGCTTTCGTGAGGTTGTACGACAAGGTACCGGATATGAAATCACGAGCTGCAAAACTGTGTGAAGTTAAGATATGATGAAATTTACAGTACTGTCCGTCTGCTACACAGGAAGTCGACCGCGTAGTCAAGGTGGTCAGTCATCACGTGTCAATCAGGACCTTCAGGTTGGATACAGCTCGTAACTGGGCCAAATTATGCCTTCATAGCCTCGGTCCTTCATAATTATTAGCTGGGTCAGCTGGTAACGCTTGATCCAACGGCACTGCCAAGAATTCACGTGCTGCTTTACATCTGCAGCGTTAGGAAGGGATCTATCCACGCTACTTTCGCTCCATCGTCCATCAGTTCAGTCTGATGCTGCCATAGGAAAGACCCTTGCACAGAAATGCCAGCTTTTTCCCCTGCCACTCTTCCCCGTCTTGGTCAACGGACTTCTGGTCACCGATCATTGACCACAATACAACTGTGCGTCACGACCTTCATACGCGTCCCTCTTACAAGTCGACTCCTCGACGTGCCATCCTTCTTGGGTTTATTCAATATCTGCAGTAGGATTCGTACTGCCGAGCTCTACATCAAACCCTTGCAAACACCCTGCAAATCCCTGGGGGGATCCCCACATCAAGTACCTGCAACCGCACACGCACAAAGCTTCTTGCTGAGACACACATACCTACAAACGTTTTTGATGATACACCAAAAAATGTACCACATCAGGGCGTGGCAATTACCCCAAACCGCCAAGGAAAAAGCCAACGACTAACAGTCTTGCAACGGCAGCCTGAAGCAGGGCGACCCGCGCTGGCTCCAGTTTCTCTTTCCTCCTCTGCTTTGTACGACATGTCGGTAATAGTAGTGTACTGGTAATGTCGGCACAAGCGGTGAAGCATGAGGGAAGGAGAGGAGAAAGAGAGACACCTAAGCTGTGTGTGTATTCCCTTCGGAGCATAAAACTCCCTGCTCCAAACACACCAACCCCATGTCATTACACACTTGCTGGCATGCAGCTTCCTGCGTTAAGACAGAAGAGAAAGGTCAGCTTCTCTTTCAGTTTGTACGGCAATGGCATCATCGGAGACACCTGTTGTGGCACCTGACAACACACCGGACACGGACACGAGTGCAGCCTAGCAGCAGCCAGAACAGAATACACTAAAACACACACGCATGCACACACATCATTATTTTTATAACACCAGGTCATCTGCGGCGCCGCGCCGCAAGGCGATACCGTTAACAACACCGTCAGCCGGGGCCCCCGGCCTTCATTGCCAATCCTAGACAACCCAGGCACGAACACCCCACACCGTGCCCGCCTCACGCAACGCAAACCAGCCAAAACAATTTGACCGCAACAAACCGCAAAAACCTCCACACCTGGCCGCACCCCGCGTTTCTGGGCGCTTCCTCCGGCCCCACTCCCTCACCTCACCTCAATTACACCTCAACGATACCCACTAACAGCGCCTCCAGTCAAACCCCCTCCCCCGATTACCCGCTTCCTACTCCCACTGCATTGCCGTACAGCTGCTTCCTCAGAGCCCTCACAGCTGCAGCAAATCCGTACCCCTGTCCGCCACCTCCTTCACGGGGGGCCGGGCCAGAAACAACACCGAAGCGAACAGTGACCCACGGGCCGCTAGAACCGCCGCCCGCTGGCCGTCGACCATCTGCAGCGTACGGCAGCCCTCCGGGAGACCCAGGTACCAGGCGTTCTCGTCCAATTGGTCGTACGTTTCCGGGGCCTTATCCGCTACCAGGATGCCTGGGCCCTGCAGCCGCCGCTTGTCGTCGTCCGTCTTGAGGTGCGTTGTCGGTTAGCGGTTGGGCAGTTGGGTGAGGTTGGCTCTTGGGTCTATAATTTTGATGTTTTACTGAATTTTGGGTGCTAGGCACGCAGCCTTCCCGTCCTACATCTATATTTATACCTTCAACCCAAAGATACCTCGCGTACGTGTGTGTGTGTGTGTGTGTGTGTGTGTGCACATTTGCTTGCTTCTGTGTACCGGGCCCTCGTGTTCCCTCCGCCCTCCCTTTCCCCGGCCTCCCTGGGTTGCCTCCAATATTCTCCCCGGCCCCACCCACATCCCCATCCCCACCAGCCCCCAGGGTCCCCCCCTCGCTCTCTCTCCCTCCTGGGTGTCGGCAGCGCTCCCTTTGACTTCTCCATCATATGACCTAATCCCCATCCACCCCTCTTCCACTCTTCCTCATCCCCTCTTTTTCCCCGACCCCCACCTCCAAA